CGTTATCATTTTTGTGTGAAGAAAGTATGTAAGATTAGTAAAAGCCCAACAGTTAGTGAAAATTATTTGGGCTTGATAAATATATCGTTATTAGCCTGCTAACGTTAATTACACATATCAGTATACTTAGAGTAGCTAGCGGTTTAATTTGTGACAGAATGTCCATTTACAAAAGTAAATGGGGCACCAACCTAGAACCTTCTAACACTTTAAACAGGTATTTTTAAAGTGACACCATTACATTTATTAGCTTTGATACTATAAACCAGATATCTTCAACACACACAAAGATAGGAGATTTTTAATACCAGCCATGAACACAGAAGTCAATCATTAATAATAAATAAAAATGACCAAGCTGAATTTTCCATCTCTCCATTTGTTTATAAGACATCTTATTTCAGAAGGTGGAAAACAATCGTTTTCCTCAAAGAGCTGTTTTAGAAGGCTGGTTTTGAGACCAGTTGCTCTAAACTTTCAAAGTTTTTAAACTGTATGGACCGTCTGCACTTGTCTCTCCTTACTTGTGCTTTCTTTGCACAGGGAGTTGATTTTTAGCCTTCAAATGAGCTTTTGTTTTCATTCTAAAATGATATTTACCTCCATCGTGTAATCTTGTTTGGTCTGTTTTACCTCTCGGAGTTGGGAGTCTCAGGTCTGTACACACTCCACTCACACACAGTTTCCTTCATGCAAGCCCTTTTATTTCCACACTCCAATAACAATTCACAGAAAACCACATTTAAACAGGTTAAAGAAGGATAAACAGATCTCCAGAAAGATTTGCCTCCATCTGGTGGTCAAATGACTGTAAGACGATTCAAATAAAACCCCTCCTCTGCTGAGATCTAAAAACATTTATCAAAATAACTTTAAAATCAGACATTGTGGAACATATTCACAGTAAACTCTGTACACAAATGTTTGGGTAAACCAAGAAAAACGACTCTTCCTTGATGGAAATGTGTGTTGGTTGAAAAGCTAAAACACAGTGAAAATCTTCATGGAAACAGAGGATAACCGAGTTCTGCTTGTGATCACAGGTGACCAAAGTATGAAGACATTTGCAGTTAATGTGAGAGTCTAAACAAAGTGGCTGAGGTGGTACCTTTGGCTGATAAACTGGCTTCTGTCAGGTGGACGGCCGTGGCATCTCCACTGTTGGTGGAAACCTGCATGACTGACATCTGACCATCAGAGGTTAGGGTTAGGGTTAGTCTCACCTGGACTACTGCTCTGTGCTGTG